GGTGTCGGGTAATTAAAGGGCGCGGGCGCTAGCAATGCGAATGGCGTTTCCGCGTCTAATAGCGCGCTGCGCCGTGGCTGTTCGCTCCGCGAGTAATTAGCGCGCGGCGGCGGCACCTGAGTGGTGACGGGCCGAGGAATAGAGCAAGAGCGGTGGCGGCAATAGTAAATTTGGTGGTAGAAGTGGTGACGACGGCCGATGGAGGCGGTGGAAATGAGGCTGTAGAAATGAAGGCGGTGGAGATAGATGCGATGCAAGATGAAGGCGGCAGAGAAGGTAGGTATAGAAGTGGCCATGGAGTCCACGGCGATGGTGATAGTGACGGTGAATATGGTGGAGTTGGCGATGAGGTGACGGTGACGGTGTGCCAGCACGGTTATGGGATTGCTTGAGCAGTAGCAGTGGGGTGGTTATGGCAGAAGTCGGGTGGAGACGAGATCGTGACCCGAAGATGGCGGACGGAGAAGCAAAGGCTGAGAAACTGCGGCGGAGGAGTTACACTAGAAGTATCCTGAGGTGCGGTAGTGTTACTTATAGAATAGGGGAGACAGTGTCCATGGTGGTGATGGTGGTGGTGGTGGTGGTGGCAGAGGCGTTGCACGAATGACAATGCTGTTACACGAGGTGTTAACAGCACAGCAGCTATTGGCGGAAATGACAAAGGCGACGGTGGGGAGTGTGGTCGCATTAAGTGCAAGTAGTTTGCGAACGAAATGGCGGCATGTCCAGCAAGTTTATGGCTAGTGATAATGGTTTCCACCACAACGGCTGAACGAGACAGCAAGAGAAGGAGCAAGTGAATAAATTGTCTTCTCCGCCGATCCCACCATTGAAGGAAGAGGGGTGAGTGTGGGAAAGGGAGGTAGAAACGGGGTTTTTTGAATAATAACTGTGGAGTTAATGCAGATTGTAAAAGAGATCGCTGAAAATGGAAACAATGATTTTGGGGAAGATGAGCAGTTTGGCTGGAGATGGAGCTGGCAGTGTGAGTTAAACACGATAGAAAGATGGTACCGAAGACTAAAAATGTTGATTATGCAAAAATCGGTGGGTAGGTGGAACGTAAAATTGGAGGTGGTGTATAAATGACGAAGACTACTCAAATGGTTTGGTGCGATTTACTCGATATACCAACGGAATGAACGGTAATAATAAAGTCGAAGCCTGGCATTCGTGGCAAATATGATAATGATATATGCCCTGACAACGGTGAAGGGGCGGGAATGACAGCATTAAAAACGAGTGATCTTAGTGGCAGGGAACAGGACGATGGCCACTGGAGCACGGAGGAACAGCGGTGGTGTCCCGACTTCCAGCACGACAAGCACAGAATGCGCTCGCTGGCCCCGGAGGGCGCGTTGGATAGGAACGAGCACATACAGCCAGCGCGCGGATACGGTGAGGGAGAAGCGACGAAAATCGGATTTCGGGGAGACGGAGAAAAGAAATTAGAGGTAAAAGGCGCGTTTAGGGTAGCTAAGGAGAAATGGGACGAATTTAAGAAAGCAGACGTTATTGAAAATACGCGAGTTACTTAAAACTAATTTACTATCACATGGGTTTGGCAGTTTTCTAGTATTAACGAATCGATTTGTCAAACGACTTATCAATTCGACGAATTACATAAGAAAAACGGAGGCTTTAAAAGTCTTTTTAATATAAATTCCCAATCAATGTACGAATACAATGGAGCAAATTTGTAATAAGCCATTTGAGCACCTAAAAAATCACTTGTTGCCAATAAGAAATTATCATTCTCATTCGTATCAAAGAAATATTAATGAAACATTGATTCTTTCAAAGATTTTACAGACAGTTTTGCGATACGAACAGAATGTTTTGCGATGGACAAGTATCGCTGACACGCACAACGACAGAGATAATTTTCGGACCACAAAGACAACACGCCGCTGATCTGGCGCGGCGCGGCGCGGTGGTGGCGGTGGCGAGTTCGAGAGGTCGAAAGGTGGCGCCTCGGGATCCGTGGACCGAGCGGACGCGCGCGGGCTCATAAATTGAAACCGATACAGGCGGAAATTGCATAATTCCGTGTT